GTTTATTGGAAAAATAAAAGTTCAGGGAGGTTTTTTTGGGAAAGAGAGTAAAGTTCAGAAGGGTTTTTTGCACTTTACCCCTTTTTTTATGCGGAAGTTTTTAACAAAGGCTTAATTATTTTATAGAAGTTTTTAACGTGAGTATAGTTATGGTCATTCTTTTTACCTCTCATGGTATCCAGAATAAGAACTTTTCTTCTCCCTATTTGAATTATAGGACATCTTTTTATTAATGAGACTGTGTACCTTGGAAAAAGTAGTGACAATATATGATTGTTAGAAATTTGTTTAAAATTCATTTATGATATGGCAAAAAAAATTTGGCTAAAGAAGTGTGATGGTGAAGCTTCCAAATTAGCTTCCGAAGGAAGCTTTGAAATTCTTGGGTAACAAGAATTATTCTTGGGCAGCAAGAATTATTCTTGGTCAACAAGTGTTATTTGGCTTCCAAAGGAAGCTTTGTAATATACTTGGACGCCAAGTATATTTTTGGCTATAAATAGCCTTGCATTCATTCAATGAAAAGCATCCGAGAGGCATCCAAGAGTAAGACAATATTTGGATCAAGAGAGTATATTGGTTTTGTGTGTGTGAGAAAATCCTTTTGTGTGTACAATCTTCAAGAGAGAGTTGAAGTTTGTATTTAGGTGGGTTTTTCTCTTTGTGTAAACCATATACTATTTGGAATATTTTTTGAGTATTGAGTGAGTCTTCTTTGTTGGTGAGTAAGTGGTGTGAGAAGAGAGATTATTGTGAGGAAGAACCAAAACGTTCTTCAGTTTGTAATCTTCTTCTTTATAGTGATACGAATCATCATCGCCCGTGGACATAACCCTATTTGTGAGGATGAACCACGTATAAATTCTTATCTCGTTTGTGTGTGCGCTATTTTATTTTCTTGTTATTTATTTTTTTCTTATTCTTATAAACTCCTATACAATCCTTATTTCATAACAATGATAACATTTGTGTGACCATGAAACATTATGTCAGTTCATCAATTTATCAATTTTGTACTAATGTTATTAGCAAAATCCTTTTACGTATTTATCTCTCTATTATTAAGGATTCAAGTTGACGCCTATTTTTATTTTTATTGCTTTTGATATATTTAATTTACAATTTTCTGTAGCTTCTTTGTAAAGCTATCAAAACTCATTTGTACCTTTTTTTTTTTCAAATGAGTTGATTTATAATAGTGGGCTGATGAACCACTTAGTCTCATTTGCATTTTTATTTCTTTTGAGTTGGAAGATAGTGGAACCTTAAGGCTTTCGAAATATGAATTTATATTTGAATACACAGAAAAGGGAAATTCTTCTAGATTTCTCGAAATGAGGCTTTGGTTGGGCAAAGTGAGAAAAAAATGTTTATATTTTGGTCAAATAACACTCCTATCCTTTATTTTGAGTATGTAAATCCATTGAGTTTGAAAATTGTGGCAAAGAATGGCTTAATGTCTATATTTTGTTAGAAAATGACCTTTAAGAAGTCATATGTGTGGAACATGGCTATTTTAAGTTATAAAATTCCTAAAACACCCTTTTGCTCTCCTCAAAATGCCCCTTATACCATTTTTTATATAAATCACATTTCTCCCTCTTTTTTCAAACCCATCTACCTCTTTCTTTGGCCTCTCTCTCTTTCTCCACGGTCTCTCTCCGATCCATTTCACTGTAAGTTTTTCCTTATATGTATATATAACACCCTCCAGGAAAACACAAAAACACTCTTAATTTAACATTTTGAGCAAATAACATCCAAATACTTTATATTTGGGGTTAGATATTTTAGTCATTTTACATTTGCTTAATTTTTCACTTTTTTTTATTTATTTTATTTAGTTACATAAGGGCACTTTAATCTTTTAATCATTCCACTTACAACGGGTATTGGTCTCACTTTTGGCACTTGCTTCTGCTATCAATCCCATTATGTATGATTTAGATTTTATCACCTTTGCACTCTCGCTCTAGCCCTCACTGTCTCTCCCACTCTATGTAACTTAGGTCTAGATCATTAAAGCGTATAATAGATTATTGCAATTGCAGGTGTAGACATTTTTAAATTATTCAACAACAAATAAAGCTTTTTGTATAAAGACATATCGTTCGTCGTCGATCAAAAACCGAAGGTTGAACATATTGAATATTTTAATTCCTAATTACACGTGGGGGTAAAAGTTGGACGGGTTCAAGCCAGCCCAACCTAAACCCGGCCGAGTTTTTCGTGCTAGGTTTTGTTTTATATATATTAGAATTTGAATACAAAAATTCCTTCTCCTCTTTGGAATTAAGAAATTTTTTTAAAAAAAACTGAATTTTGAAAAAGTTTTACGCTTGCTTCCCTGTTTAATGAAAAATGATCAACTGCCATACAATGATTTAACGGGCTGGGGAGCTATATGAGCATAGATAAGAAATTGGAACCGTATAAAAAAATAAAATAAGGGCGGAGGAAAGGTCAGATACACAATAAAGAATTTTAAAATATATATATATATTCGTATTCACAGTATTTTATTTTTTTGAACTTTTCTTTTAAAGGAAAGGTCAGATTGGGCTTACTCGTCAGTTGACCCCAATCAAGTGGTAATAATGTACTGCCAAAGTAAATTAGTGGAGAGAAATAAAGGTCCAACGGCTTCTTTTGGAACAGCGTGCTCTGCCAAAATGAAAAGAAAGCCAGCTGCCAGCTCGCCCTTTGTCAGGAAAATGTTAATACATCATTGAAGACCGTTTCACACACTACTCTAATTCAAAGACAAAACCAGAGCCATTAAGCATAAATTGCTTCTTTTGCTTTGGAACTTTCACTGGCCGTTTGATTTTACCCTTTATATTTTGACAGCTAAATCAGCTTTTAGAGAGTTCAGAGCAAGAATGGAATTGAAAGTAGGTTTATAAAATTTAAGTTATACCGAAGGAAAATCGGTCACATGTATACAGAAGGAAAATCGGTCACATGTACCATAAAAACGAACATCCTCTGAATAAAATTGTGTAATTCTGTATGGAGCCTTCCACTATTGAAAAGGCTCATTAATATATAATTATTAAATAATTTTAGACAATACATGACTTAGTAGTTCAGATCAATCACTGATACATAAATTATTAGATAATTTTATGTATGTATGTGTACATGTGTTTATATATATATATATATATATATATAGAGAGAGAGAGAGAGAGAGAGAGAGAGGAGGGGGAGGGGGGAGATGGAGCTCTTGATGATGTGTTTTAATGCTTTTGCTTGATTATATTTTTAAAAGATGGACTTAAGGTAATATTAGAGGTGGGAAAGACATGGAAAGTCGTATTTAAGTACTATTTGGACAAAGAGGGTAATGTGGGTTGGGCGAACCCAAAAATCTCTGGCTGAAGTAATAATATAAACGTGTATATATATAAATGGGATAAATATTTACTTTTCGGTGGTGTAGCACCGTACGAAGGATTGAATTTATTTTTAATATCAACTATAATGGGTATGCGTTTATTCATTTATTCAAAAGTTCAAATTATTAGATAGTGCTGCATACCCACCTATTTATACCCAATCACTTTTGAGCCATGGCCACACTTACACACCACCCCAACTCATGGCCATGGCATAGATGGTGCCAGGTGGTGAAGGTGGACGGACAGGGACCAAGCCAAAAAGTAAGATAAGGGAGTAATTACTATTAATAAAATTTTTAGAGGCCATGGCCCCGCTTACACGCCACCCCATGGCCATGAGGTGGTGGTGGAGGTGGACAGGCGCCCCTTGGGTGGGAATGAATTTTGGAGGGCAATAATGCATTTTTTAAGGAATTTTAGGGGTCTAAAAGTAATATTTTATAGGTATATTATTAGAAATGAACAAATTATAAAGGTGTATTACTAAAAAAAAGGTATTCAGGGGCCAATTGCCCTCTACTTGTATTTGGCTCCATCCCTGTGGACATATGAAGATTAGGGAGGGAGGGTGAAGTTGTGTAACTTAAAATTATTGTTTGAACCATGTTAGTTATTTCACTTTAAATTTTTTTTAATTGAAAAATGTATCAAAATAAGGGGTAAAGATGACATTTCATATGTTTTTTAAACGCGCTAGCTACTAACGTTGCTCATTCTCGAACGTAGTTAAAGCAAAATTCAAGGGTGTAATAATATTTTTTCCTTTTTTAATGCCAAATTTTTAACAAGACTTATTTTTACGAAACCCCTGAACTATTAATCTTCGACGCATAACCCTCTAAACTACTAAATCATCATGAAACCTGGGACTTTTTTCAAAATAAATCAAACCACTCCTTTCTGTTAGAAGAAAAAGATGGAAGTATACAGGTGCACCCCCTGTAAAAACACACATGCACATTTCTTTATCCACTCATTCTCTCACAGTCAACATTTCTTTAGTCTTGACTCCTGAACATTGGGACTTGAAAGTATTATTTTTTGAATTTTTAATGTTCTGAAGTGAAGTCTTGTGGTGTTACTTTTTAAATATTTTTCATTTATTTGTTAAAACCTGACATCTTGATAAATTTATAAGGGGCGAATACATTAATTGCACGTTTTCTTAAAAAATATAAATAATAAAAATAAATATTTAACACGTTTGGTATAATGGTTGGAAGATGGAAATCATGGAATTCTTTTGGATAATGTCAAAATGAAATGGACAAAAAGTCTAATTTTATCTTACATTTTATTTTATTTCATTTCACCAAAGTTGGACATTTTTGTCATTTAAGAATCTAACTAACGGCTTTGTCACTTTTTGGCCTTAGATACCATATTTTGTTAGTTCATGAAGATCTTTGATACTAAGTGGGTTATATGAAAATTTTGAATAGTTAGGGGGGAGTTTTGTAAAATTAAGCCTTTTAAGAGTTTTAAACGAATTGTATCAGTAAACCGTATTTTATTAACCACGTCGAATGATCTCAAAATTGGACGGCTGATATTTACTAGCCGTTGTGTTTTTTAAAAACGAAGAGGCATGTGCGAACATATATCCGCTGTTTACGATTCAATTTGGGTTATCAGGATTCCAGTTTCTCTTCTTCAGATTTTCTCTTTTTCTTGATGTGACCCAAAAACCTAAAGAACCAGAAGAGAAATAGCGATTTGGAGAAAGAGAGAGAGAGAGACTTCAAGATCAATCACTCGATTGCTGAATTTGATGGAGCTTTTTGAGTAGTCTCTCTCTTCTTCTTCGAGACCATTTTAGGGGATTTTTTGACTTGTTAGATTGACCAAGCGATTCTTGATTGTAGGTTTTTTTTTTTTCCATTTTATGAACTCTATCCGACGACTTTGTCGATCTCAATTTCTTGATTTTTTTTTTCTCTTTATAATTTGATTTGTTACGAGGAACTGCTTTTTGATTGCGATGAGTTTTTGATGTTCTGATGAGTGGTTGTTGCTGTTCTTCGTAGATAGTCAAAATGGTTGGATCAGATGAGAATCATCCGGGCATAATCAGACCCTCAAATATTCAAGGTAATTTGAATTTTGAACCAGTTCTGAATTAGCCCCTTCTTAGATTGGTGTATGCACTTGACCCATTTGGTATACGTCTTTAGATTAAGCTACAAGACCTTTATTTATTTAATAAATGAAATTTTAATTGATCATCCACAGTGGGATTACGCGCCGGAGCCGGAAAGATCCCGGTGGGGATCGGACACAACCGGAGAGCTTTGAGTACCATTGACTGGAATGTAATTGGAGCTCCATGTGCAGTCAACAAGAGAGGAGGAGTATCAGAGTAATTTCTAAAACCCTTTTCTTTGATGATTAAACCCTTTTCATCGATTGTTCATTAGGGGTCAGAGTAATTTCTTCTTTTTTCAAGTAACCATGTTGATCTCTGTCATCTTTAATCTTCAGAAAACATGCAATCTCTAATAAGAACCACCCGCCCATTCCGGCACATCGGCCAATTACTAGGTCTGTAACTAATTCTAATTGTTATGTTTGTTCTGACGATTTTGCTTACAGAATTTTATGTTCTTATTGAGCTCTGTGTTTGTTCATTGTGGTTTTATTAGGAAGTTTGCTGCACAAATGGCTAGCAAGCAGCAGCAACCATTACCTCAGGTAAGTTCATGTTGGTTTTTTTTTTTTTTTTTTTTTTTTTTTTTTTGTTGTTTTTGTTGTTGTTGTTGTTGTGGTGGTGGTGGTGAAGTATACATAAATCTGATTCAAATAGGAAACAAAGAAGCTGGTTCAATCTGCATCAGAAGATTGTGCCATCATAGATGTGGATGACTACGAGGCAGCTTGTGACCACCCTGTGCCAATGTTTGTGCAGCACACAGAAGCAATGCTGGAGGAGATAGATCGGATGGTATTTGGATACACTTGCTTAATTATGTTTTCAGAGCTTGGTATTGACCTTTTTTATACAGCAGAGAGTATCATTAATGTTCTAATTTTATGTAGGAGGAGGAGATTGAAATGGAAGATATTGCTGAAGAGCCAGTTGTGGAGATTGACAGCAGAGATAAGAAGAATCCACTTGCAGTTGTGGAGTATATAGATGATATATATGCCTACTACAGGAAAGCAGAGGTGATGTAGAATTTCTACTTTACTTGCATTCCTTATTTGGAATACTTTGGCCTTATCTTTGCTGAAAATGATGATTTTGATTTTTTTTTTTTTTGGGGGTCTCAATTCACTTTTACTAATTTATAGAATTTCTACCTTATTTATATTCATTATCTGGAAAACTCTGGCTTTATCTTTGTCCCACTGTTATGCTGAAATTGATGAATTTTGTTGTCTCAATTTACTACTACAAATTTGTATTTTGATTTAATACTTCTTTTTTCCTAAGTAGACTTGTGATGCTACACCAAAATCCAAATTTGACTTGAACTAAAAGGAATTGTTGGGATTCTTTTTTGCATGATGTTTTTGGAAAAATCTGTCCTTATATTTGTGCCACTGTTATCATAGCTGAAATTGATGAATAGCAGAATGGAAAATTACTTATAAAATAAATAAATAAATAAAGAATGGAAAATTGATAGCATAGGAGTTCCCCTTGCTAGCTAATTGTTCAACCATATCATTCCTTTACTTTTTATGCATGAGGTTTTTGGCCATGAGAATAGATGCGTCTCTCTCTTGGTTGTTGTGTGCTAATGGTTGGATAACACGCAATGATAGATCGCTTTTACACTTGAACACTTAGCCAAAAAAAAAAAATTGTCTTGGTAATTTGTGTGTCTTGTATTAGTGTGTGTGAGTCAGATTTTTGCAGCATATTTTACTGGTTAAAATCTTTTCTTACAAGAAACTAGCCACGAGGATTAGTTGGAAGACCATGAATGATGTCATTTTTGGTTTTAGGGGTGGAGCTCAAAACATTCGTTTGGGGAGGGTTAGTAATATGAAATTAAAATGTACAAAATTTCACAATACAATTTTTAATGTATATTCTTAAAAGCATGTATCACGAGTACTATTGTACAATATATATAACCCCACACTTCCAATAAGTTTGCGTTTTTATAAACTGTAGATTAAGAGGCTGAACTCACAGCACGTGTGAGCTTAATGAGAGAGCTTCCTCATAAAATGTGTTTCATAACCTAAAAAAGAAGAAGAAAATATAACTTAAATAAACGAAGACTCAAATTTGATATAAGAAGGGGAAAAAAAAAATAGAGAGAACATGCTGGCAGCCGATAGATAAAATGATTGTCTAAGTGTTGTCAAGTGTATGAATGGAGTATTGATATAGATAACAATGTATATGAATGGAATATTGATATATTATAGCAATGACTACAACAATAATGGACTCTCTTTTTTCCCGATGGATTTGAATTTTTAAAAGTAAATTTAAGAAGGTTCAATAGACTTTGTTGTAGGAACCATATGTTATTTTCTTTTGTGAACACAGTGTTAATAGATAACAACAAATAGGCCCTCTAGTTCTGCCCCTGCCCATCTGTTTGGTATTTATAGGTATGATGACACCCTTTTACTATCATTTGAATAGTGTAACAAGCCATACCTATAATATAAAAAAGGGAAATGTCTCTCCTTGAACTCCGAATTCAGAATGTGAGAAAGAGGTGATGGTCTTGTGCGCAATAATGGTGAAATCTGAAATGAAAAGGTGTGGTTTTTTCAACTAAAACCATTGTTTACAGCAAAAAGAAATTGACCCACAAAATGGGCTGCAAAATTCTAATTTTCACCCTCTAATGTGGGGGTCACAAATTACCAAAAACATATTCTAGATTATGATTGTTTGGAGGATAATGCCCTCCATATTTATTTACAGCTTAAATTTTCATCCATTAATATAATGTTATACTATAAGCACTTGCATGCTGGTTTTAAATATTTAATGACGTTTTTTTCTTCACTAAAACAGGTCTCCAGTTATGTCTCACCAAACTATATGGCACAGCAATTTGACGTTAATGAGAGGATGAGGGGTATTCTCATTGACTGGTTGATTGAGGTACATGCGAAGTTGTATTTTAGTGGTTTAATGAATTGGCAGGAGGTGAAACATTATGCAGCCTCAATAACTAACCATTTCTTTGAATGAACAGGTCCATTACAAGTTCGAACTGATGGATGAGACCTTGTATCTCACTGTCAATCTTATCGATAGATTCTTAGCAGCTCAACCAGTAGTGAGGAAGAAACTCCAGCTTGTGGGAGTGACCGCTATGCTTCTTGCATGCAAATATGAAGAGGTTTCAGTTCCTGTTGTGGAGGATCTCATTTTGATTTCTGACAAGGCTTACAGCAGAAAAGAAGTTCTTGAGATGGTAGATTTATGACTAATGAGTTTTCTGTGTTTACCTAGTTTTCTTTAGCATTATAAAAATTAGAATGTATTGTTTTGATTGCCTGCAGGAAAAAACAATGATCAACACTTTACAGTTTAATCTATCAGTTCCCACTCCATATGTGTTTATGAGGCGGTTTCTTAAAGCTGCTCAATCTGACAAAAAGGTTTGTATATTGGTCAAGAGTTCCTTTAATCTATTACTTCCCACTCCAATGATCAGCGCTTTACAGTTTAATCTAAGATCCTTGTACTTAAATGACTGAGAGAAGTATTTAATTCTGATCTTGAATCAGCTGGAGCTTCTGTCTTTCTTCATTATCGAGCTATGCCTGGTTGAGTACGAAATGCTCAAGTTCCCATCTTCTCTATTAGCGGCTGCAGCAATCTTTACTGCTCAATGTACACTCTGTGGGTGTAAGCAATGGAGTACGACCAGCGAGAGGCATACTAAATACTCCCAAGATCAGCTACTGTGAGTGGTTTCTGTCATTAATTACCATATATTTTTCTAGCAGCTCGGTGTATGTGTTTTTACCCCTGCTATATTTCTTTGGTTTCTACAGGGAATGCTCAAGGCTAATGGTTACTTTCCATCAGAAGGCGGGATCTGGAAAACTCACGGGTGTGCACCGGAAGTATAGCACATCTAAATATGGCTATGCTGCAAAATCAGAACCTGCTAATTTTCTCTTAAAGGCTAGATTTTAGCAGAACCAAATACAATGATGAATTGTGTTCATAGTAACTAGCTTTATGGAAATAAAGTACTTGTGGGGGGTGGGGTGCAATTGAGCAACATAAGTTGCCCCTGGCTGGTTTTGAACTTACTATGGATGATGTTGAATTTGTTGTTGAGAATTTTAAGTTCCCATTGAATGTTCTTTTTGAACATTTCTTTATGTTTAGTTTGATCGAATAATAATTATTATTCTTTCGATATTGCTTTAATTCATGAAACTTTTCCTTTGATTCTTAGCAATAACGGTATCTGCACACGTTAGTGGCTGGCCTGGTAGTACCCTCCCTCTTCGTTCTAACCCTTATCTTTAACATGCATTTTCTGCAATGCTAGCATGATGTTTAATCGCTTTTTTTATTTTTATTTTTGGATCTTAGTGTTCAGATTATGTTATCAAACACCATCTAAGACTGTTAATTTTATTGGTATGTGATTCAAAAATTCTTCTTAGAAATGCATTTTAAGGATCGTTCCAGTTGGGGATAAACGGGTGGTCAGTTACATATTGGAGAAAGTATAGTTGTTGTAAAGCAGTCCTGGTTCTAAAGCCCCATCAACGAACTCTCAGCTGCTATAGTCCTAGAGGATGTTCATCTCCTATTGAAATGGAGCATGGATTACTCTCTGGCTAGATGGTCACTTCAGAACATCTTGAATGAATGGTGCATTTGGCCTGCTTGGCTCATTTAAGCCCTCTTCCTTGTAGTTTTTCCTTCTTTTGAATGGAAAAAATAAAATCATGAAAGAGATGGGAAAAGTCTAATATAAAAATAGAAGGCGGCCTCCGAAATGCTTCAAAAAGAAAGTACGTTGAAACTTGAAACTGTCCTTACATTCTTTAACGGTGTTTTTGGATATATATACGAGTGGAAGGAATCGGAGAAGGTGATGAGTATGAGGGAAAGGAAAGGAGAGGCTAGTGCTAACCTCTCTGTGTTTGGTTAACTAGGAGGAGGGAAAAGAAAGAAAAAACAATGAAGATAGTACGATGACTCACAAGCCAACTGATAGGTAGTAGAGTGCTTAGAAGATAGATGAAAATAAGGGAGTGTATCCTTTAACTGCAGTGTTTTAAGGAGAGCATATAAAACTATTCACCCCCTCCAATTTGGAGTGCTTTGAAGGAAACAGTTAAACCTCATTTTCGTATGTATGATCAACACAAGCCTGTGAATAAAGAAAGCTGAGTGCTTCAAAGAAATCCAAGTGTCCTTGTACAATGACACACGGAATTCTACTAATACACACGAAATCAAAGTGCTACAAAGAGAGGAAAATTGAAAATGCTGGTTATGAAAAGAAGAGAGGGTCACCAGATAGCAATCGTAGCATACAGAAAGAGAGGAACCCCTGTATTTGACTACTTTAAAGAAAACAGATGAAACCATGCCGCCATAATAACCACCATCAGCCCAAGATTATATATATATATATATATATATATATATATATATATATATATATATTCTTCAAAAAAAAGGAAAACGGCGAATTATATTAAATCCAATTGTCTTAGAAACCATGTGTCTGTTGCGAGATTCCAGAGTATGGAGAGAATACTCTTAATTTAACTAGGGTAGCTCTTTTCAAAGGGAATTTAACATGTTTTTGCTGCATTCATGCATGGAAAATATTAAAGTTTGTATGAAGAAAAAAGAAGAAGATTGTTTGCTTTCTTAACACACATTGTTTAGTGTGCTTGATTGTGTAGAGGCTTTTCCATTTTGCGGCCCAAATTGCGGTGCTTGTTATGCATAATAAGCGTCTATCTGATCAACCATTGGAATCCTGTCCAAAGCAGTAGTTCACACAAAGTGTCAAATTAAGAGTAAATACACTCAAATTTCAGTTGGCTACTCCTTTTTACCACTCTATTGTTTCTAGCACTTTCATCAAACATATTACATGCAGAAAAGTACCTCAATAGAGAGTTGCTCCCCAGAACACAGAGAGAGATTCACATGTATATATATATATAGAAAGAAAAGAGAGAAACTTCTAATGTAGTGAGCCTGAAAAATAACTAAAAGAAAGTGTATGAAAATAAAAAAAGATTTCCGTTGCCGGGACTTGAACCCGGGTCTCTCGGGTGAGAGCCGAGTATCCTAACCAACTAGACTACAACGGAGTTGCTTAAATCTCGCTTATAAATAGTTTTATTCAAATAGATACAAATTACCTTCTATCGTACCAAATAATGTTTGAATTGAGCGTGAAGATAGTTACCTTGTTAAAATTGAGAAAATAATATCTTATTACATACGTTTATTGGTCATTCCGTACTCACTTTATTGTTATTTATATATTAAGTATTTTAAGAGATCCATTACATAGTAAAACCAACATATATGTATGGAAAATGATTCTTGCACAATAATTACAGTGAATTGTTAAATCTATTTTTTTAATTGGTCAATTATGCAATAAATAAGGAAATAGAACCCTACACTTAGTTGTATTTAGTATAAATAGTCAATTAAAAATTATTCGGTTAGATAATTCACTGCAATTGTTTCAGTGTATTACTATTCTATATGTATGTATATATATATATATATATATAGCAAGGTTGTACTCAAATTGAACATATGGTCCGAAAATTGAAAACCCTCCCATTACAAAAGATTAACATCACATGATAAAACTCAACATACTAGCAAAGATTGATTGCACTCAAATTAAACATTTGGCCCGAGAATTGAAGTCCTAAAAAGATTGGCACCTAGAATGTAAGTCTTAACCAAAGACTCAAAACTCAAATCATACAAGAAACTTCTCTTCTAACGTGACAAGACAAGTTACTGAAAATTAATCCTTTGTTTGATAACCTAAATCTAAATTATTATGTAAAAACAAGCTAACCAAATCTATCACCTTAGATCAAAACACTCATTCCTTCATGTAAAAAGTCATTCGTCCCCTATTTAAATCTAGATTTTACATGTAACAATCATCCAAGCAAGAAATTCTTCATTATTATAAATATATGGAAGAAAAAAAACATTAACATCATTCAAAATTTAATATTTTATTTAACTATAACTACTAAACTACTTTACTTGCATGTTTTTACACCAAAGTTTTTATTTTCTTCTCAATTACTTTCATGTTTTAGCTTGTAATCCCGTTAATTTTTTTTTTTTTTTTTTTTTCCCCAGTTTTGCACCAAAGTTGTTTATTTTCTTGTTTTTTAAAATCTCTCAAACATTGTTTTTATTTATCTGTGAGAAGAAAAAAATCTACAGTAATATAAGTAATACTCGTGGTTAAATACGTGGACCCAAGAGTTTTGACTTTTTTGCCATCGACGGTCTAGATTAACTGGACAAGTCAGACTTGCATTGTCAGAGACACGTCATACTTCGACGTTGATAGAGAGATATGGAACTTTAAGATCAGAAGGTCTCGCACGTTTAACGCCATTCATTGCCAGCCGTCACAACCTACACTCCTACACGACACCTTTCAAATTCGAAAAAAAAAATTTAAAATTAATAATAATAATTTCATTGATTCGTTAAAGTCTTGAATTTTGAACCATAAATTGAAGTGGATCGCCGAAAATATCCAATACAGGCTGATTGGACTCTCTGATCTCCCTCCGAAAATTTCATTTGTTGTGTTAATTCCCATAAATATCTGTTCATTTTTTGGTTCGATTTTATGACAGAGATGGTTTAATGAATGCAATAACAAGGTAAGACGACCCCCACCATAAAATTTATTTTTTATATAAATGAAATTATGAGGTGGGTTTTATCTGAATTTGATATTTTCTTCTAATATCAATGAAATTATGAGGCGGGTGTTATCTGAATTTGATATTTTCTTTTAATATTAACGAAATTATGAGGTGGGTTTTCATCTGAATTTGATATATCAATGAAATTATGAGGTGGGCTTTATCTGAATTTGATATTTTGTTGCGTTTGATCTCAACCCATTAGCTGGTTTTGTCTTTTTCTTGGATAGTTGCTCAATTTGAAGTTTCTTTCTCAGATATTTGCTTAGTTTTTGATGGATAAGTTGATAAGAATGTGGTGTAGGTTGGATTGCAAATTGTTGGATTGATATTGAAGTTTGCTTTGTGGGGTTTGGAGTTTGTGTCAAGTTCAGGGTTTCTAGCAATTTCTGGGTTTCACTCAGATAGTGACATTCGAACTGTCAGAAAATTTTTATTACCCATTTTTTTCCTTTACTTATAGAGAAATCTTGTTAGTGGCATTGATATTTTTACCAATATTGTGAAACTCATTTTGTTTCCCATTTTCATTTTTTCTATTGTCCGTGACTGATTTAGGTTGATGTACATAAATGGCTCGTTCAATATTTAGAACAATTTGTTAATTGTTCTCAGTGTGTCATGGTTGTTTTTTCAGTACAAGTGTCGAGTTAGTTAAGAAGGCTTGTTTTCTTTAAGTAGAGATGATGGAGAAGAAGCCTAAGAAGTTCCTTACTGTGGCACCTTTTGAATGTGCCTGGCGCAACGATTTGAGGTTCAAGGAAGCTGGAAGGGGATGTGTGGCTTTTGAAGCTTTCGCTTGCAACGATGTCACAGTGGTGTTCCGGGAGAATGTGGGTAGCCAACACTACCATTACAAAAGAGACAATAGTCCACACTATACTGTGATTATTGGTAGTCATAGGAACCGAAGATTGAAGATTGAAACCGATGGGAAAACTGTGGTGGATGTGGCAGGGATCGGGCTATGCTGCTCTTCTGCATTTCAGAGCTATTGGATCAGTATTTATGATGGGCTGATCAGCATTGGCAAAGGGAGGTACCCGTTTCAGAATCTTGTCTTCCAGTGGCTAGATTCGAACCCCAATTGTAGTGTTCAGTATGTTGGGCTTAGTAGCTGGGATAAACATGTTGGGTATAGAAATGTCAATGTATTGCCATTAACGCAGAATCATATATCCTTGTGGAAGCATGTGGATTGTGGTGAAAATGAAGGTGATGAGGATGAAGGTGAGGAGATGGAAACTGAAATTGGAGGTTATGAGAATTCGGGGCTTGAAAATTTTCTTGAGAGTTGGGAACTATCTGATATGTTCTTCATTGTTGGTGAGGAGGGAAGGGCTGTCCGGGCTCATAAAATAATCTTGGCGGCATCTGGGAATTTTAATTTAAGTTTGTCTGGAGAAGATGTTATCCAGCTCCAGGATGCAACATATCCAGTTTTGCATGCATTTCTTCAATATATTTACACAGGCCACACTCAGGTGATCTATGTGTTCTTGTGCTCGACTTTCATATATTTTCACTTGCCTTCATCAAGTTTTCACTTCTCTAGCTTGGTTTAGTGCATTATTATTTGAATATTACAAGTAAAATCTAAGGAATAATTTAGCGATTCTGGTTATATTTATTTCTCCATATTTTTTTAGAGAAACAACAGTTCTTGAGGTTATACACATATATGTCTGCGGTTTTGCATGGACCCCATTTGAGTACCCCTCCCCCTGTCTCTCTTTTCTGTTGGTTTGGTAGAAGGCTTATCAGTTATCATCACCATTAGCTAAATCAATCAATCCAGTCTTATGAATTCAGTTGTTCCTTTTCTCTTCTTACTCTCCTTTTGTGCTTCCAAATTCAGTGTTATTGCTCAACTTTAGCTGTGATCTATTGTCTCATAGTAATGGAGACAATGAGTTTAGTGCATCTACTAATAATTATCCTGTTGTCGTTTAGTCTTGGCCTAGGCTACTCTAGGGGTGATCTTAGTAACTGAAACAAAGACTTAACAGCGTATCCACTAATAATTATCTTCTTGTCGTTTAGTCTTGACCTCGGAAACTCCAGGGGTGATCTACAAATTTTATCTTGAGTTGCATCCTTTATGCTACATATCTTAGCATATGCAAATAAAAGATTGGTTCTGGCTTGAGCAATATTACTGCCTAGGTACCTTTCCAACTCAGGCTATGGGTCGCATGATGCTAGCAGTGCACATTAAACTTTTATGCTCTTCAGTATAAGTTCATAACTCACAATTGGTTACCTGATTACTTCATATGCTAATGTTAAGTTGCGAAAGCAGATTAGATTTTATCATTTCTTACATTTCTTATGTTTGTGTCTGATGTAGATTCCAGAGTCGCAACTCAGTTCCTTGAGGGCTCTAAGCTTACAATTTGAAGTGATTTCATTGGTGAAGCAATGTGAAGAAATTATTGCACGTTTTAAGCTGAATAAAAAATTGTTCGATTTAGGTAAGAATGTGGAGATATCATATCCTAGCCCTCGGCCCCATTGTGGTACAGCCTTTCCCTCTGGACTCCCCGTCAATATGCAGAGACTTAAACAATTGTGCTCGACTTCTGAGTACTGTGATCTGGACATCTATATTGAGGGTCATGGTCTTGTGGCCCATTCACATAAACTTATCCTCAGTTTATGGAGTGTCCCTTTTGCAAAGGTGAGTAGACTCATACCTCTTATTTATTATTATTTTTTTACACCCCCATGCCATTTATATAAGGGAAAACGACATATCGGTAAATTTAGTGGCCTTAAATAACAAAATAGTCTAATTTTAAACTTCACTTTTCAATTTGATTAAATTAAACAAAATAATTACAAATACGTCAACAATTATTATTAAAGTCCAAAGTACCTTTCAAACTCTTATTCGAAAATACTAAAATATCCTTATAATTATATAATAATAATTATACTTGGTCCAATATTTTGGAGCCGGTTTTGGTCCGATTCTTACTTGGCATGGACACATCATCGCTCTTACCATTTTGTTTCCTTTCCAAAACGATGTTTCTCTCTCTGTTCAATTAAATTGCTTTCCATTCCCTATATCTTCTTCTTCTTCTTGTGTCCCTCTCTATCTTCATCGTCTCTCTCTCTCCCCTCTCGTTCTAGGTCTCTTTCTTTACTTGATTGTTGTTATTATTGTTGCTTCTGGTTTGATAACTTTTCTGAACAACCACGTTGATGAGGGAGCGACCGCCATAACTGCCATGTCTAGAGGATTATTATACAGACGCTCGTCTTTGTCGTCTTCCTCAGATCTCTTGTACAGTGGCTTAAGCTTCATCTTTTTATCTACAATGATTTGCTTACCAAAAAAATTATAGAATATACTGAAAATTTTGGTCTTTTGTCAATTGATCTATACCCAGTATGGTCACATATATAACCCACGAAAAAAAAAAAAAAAAATCAGAAAATTTTGAAATCAGACAGATCTAATTGAAGGGAGAGAAAGTCTCATTGAAGGGAGAGAAAGTCTCATTGAAAACTAACAACAAGCATCACAACTTGAACCCTAAACATCTAGGGATCACCCAAATTTTACTATCGAAGAGAGAGAAGAAAACATATTGAAAAAAATCAGACCATATATAATTGAAGAAAGAGAGGTTTTTTTTTTTTTGCAGAAATAGAGGAGATGCCGTGGCAATGCCATGTTTGAATCGGACTAAAATCGGCTCAGATGTCATGGCAATGCTAGTCTCAAGGAATCTAAATTTGATCAGAAAATAGTGTTGTGTGTCTTCAAGGAGTGTTTTGTTTCTTCAATTGGGCATTTAATCAAACAATTTATTTGCATAAAATCAAACCTTAACAAAGCTGTCTTTCTTGTTTTAGAACAAGAAAATATTATTCTACCAATAAAAGGAGATTAAAAATTATATGTGTAAACATGTAAATAGTACATATACATAGGGAGAAAATACTGTGTAAAATAAATTTGGATTTATAAGATACTCTCTAATAGTTTATCATTCTTGTTGTAATGGATCTGATTTTCTTCAGTCACGCTTCTTCCAAACACAGGATCCACCATCAAGATTCCATAGTTTCTTAATTGATTTTTGGTATTTTGAAATTATATAACTCTAAGGATATTTTGGTATTTTAGAATAATAGTTTGGAGGGTGTTTTGGACCTTAATAATTATTATTGATGTATTTGTAATTATTTTGTTTAATTCAATCGAATTGAAAATTCAACTTTAAAATTAGACTATTTTGGTATTTAAGGCTACTAAGTCTACCTATATGTAGTTTTCCCTTTATATAATCTGAATGTGGAAATGAGAGAATAAAAGTTCTGATAATTTAGTGATCTTAATTGTTCAACCATTCAGCTTTTTGCACAATTGCACATATTTTCCAGAGGTAAAATAAAATTTCCTGAGGTACAACAAAGATTCTCTGTTGTGTGGGCATATTATTTTAGCAAAAAATGTTCAGAAATGGCAACAATTGTGCTCTTTTACCGAAATTAATGATTTTATGGCATTAGTATTGAAGGAAATAAGTTTCACTGGCAGATGTTCACCAATGGAATGAGTGAAAGCATTTCCTCAGAGGTGTGCTTAAGGGATGTACCACTGGAAGCATTTAAGGTTATGCTCGAGTTCATGTACAGTGGGGAACTGAATAAGGAAGAGAGAATGGATATTGGTACCTTGCTACTCCAGCTTCTTCTATTGGCAGATCAATTTGGGGTTACTCTCCTCCATCAGGAGTGCTGCAAGATGCTTTTAGAATGCATCTCGGAGGTAGTAGTTCGGTTACCCTTATCACATCAATGAATTTAGTGAATCAATTTATTATAATTATATTTTTTGTGTTTATTGTTTTTCTAAACTGCTAGTTGAATGACTAGAAATAAAGAACGGGGAAGTGTGGCGGTTTCGGACTTCTGAAAACAAAAGAAGAGATCCCTTTTTTTGCAATGAATTATAAAATATTAATACCTCTCGTCTACATATTATATGCAGGGATGGAGTTCTCTTATTGGAAGAAGGTCATACAACAAGAGTTTTTCTATTATGCACAAGTTTAATGGACGAGGAAGCAGACACTTTGGCAAAGTAATTGGGTTGTCAACTCTGTAGCTAACTATTGAACTTTGTTGCAGGATTCAGTATGCCCAATTCTCCAAGTGATTCCATCCATTCCTTCATGTAAACTTATTGAAGAAAGATGCGAGAGGATATTTTCAATGCACTTCGATTATTGTACAACCGCAAGCACTGATTTCATCTTCCTAGATGAGGCAACTTTTGGCAATATTCTTCAGGTGGGTTCTTAGTATCCAGGTTGTTTATGATATTGAGATGGTGGTTGATTCAAGGATTAAGATTGCTGCGTCAACTCATCATCTCTCATAAAAGCTAGATGGATTGTCCAACAATTTTAATACGGAGTTTATCAGTTGCAGAAGTATGGAGAAATGTTATTGAGTTGAAAATAAGATACATAAAAACGTAGGCAACTCCTAGTGAACTTTGTTTTATTCTTTTACATTATTTCTAGTGAGACAAGATATGGTCCTAATATGGTGGTTATCTGTGGGTGTGTGCACATGCTGGAAGCAATTATTTTCAGTGAATTTTAGAATGAACTGGTCACAATCCTAAGCCATAAGATTAAACTCACCTCATACATAGATTACACGCTAAAGAACCTCATCATTTCAGGACAGAAGCTGAATCACTCCTCACTTTTTCGGCTAAGCTGAATCACAATTTTCAAACATACTACTTTCGTGTGCTTATATATAATGGATGTTTCTTATAACCAAGTATGGGTTTTGCAGCATCCGGATCTGACAGTAACATCTGAAGAAAGAGTGCTTAATGCAATCCTACTGTGGTGTCTTCAAGCAAAGGAAGTGTATGGGTGGGAGGTAGTGGATGGGATGATGTTAAATTCAACACCCAAACTTCTTTTTGGGGAGAGGCTTCAGTCCGTTAATATATTTTTGCCCCTTGTGCGCTTTCCTTTACTTCCATATGATTTGCTGAAGAAGGTATGGTTGTCCATGATATACTGATAAAATCTGCATAGAAATTTATTATACATTTTGCTAAGCGGGCTATATCCTTAAAATGCTTTGTCATTATTTTTTATGACGTTACAGTTGGAAACTAGCAGTCTTAGCAGACAGATTCCAACTTTTGATTATCTGGTGAGTAGACCTTTTTCCTATGAATGCACATTTTGTGACAAAAGATTATCTGTGTGTTAATGAGGTTCTTATCCTTCTCAATAATTTTTCTTATGATAATGTAACAGGTGAAAGAGGCCTTAAGTTTCTTGGAGCTTCGAGTGGTTAACCCAGAAAATGGCCAAAAGTAAGTACTAAGAACAGATGTTTGAAGTACATAACTAACAAATTTATTCTTCATAGTTATGGATGTTGATTCTGGAGCCTAGATTGCTAGATTTGTTGATTATTAAGTACAAATATATTTCACTTGCTTAAGATGCATGCATTTCTCTTGGTTGCTTAGAGACAGAATTTGGAACTTGTCTCCAATATAAGTTTTGGTCCTTATGGGTCAAATGGTAGTTCTAGTTTGCCAATTATACTTTGTTCAACTCTGTCCATTATTAAGTTATGGATCTTATACTTGGGTCTCCAATATAAGATGCATACATTCTCTAATAATCAACAAATCAAGCAATCTATTACTTTTTAATCCCCACAACATTTTCATCCACTTATTAATACCCTAGATCTCCAAGCTTTATCTTGACTGAGTGCACCACATAAACAACTATAAGCACTGTCCAAGGTGTCCTAGTGCTGTTATACAATGGGTGATTCTCCTATACTACATTGACCGCCTGTCCACTTGTATGTCCTCCACCTGTTTTATGGTTGATTTTCAGCATTCTGAAATATTATAGAATTTATCAGAATGCTTTCATTACCATTCTGCATGACCGAACATTTTATTTTTTGTATACAACTATGCCTCATATATATATGATGTATGGCATAGGAGGTCATAAGATTTTCTCAATGTTATGGAGACATCTTTCAATGTGTATTTCCTTGAAAGAAATTGGTCGTCTTTGGACTGAACAAAAACAGGCAAAGTGACCATATATCTGGCCTGAATGTAACAGGGAGATATTTAGGGCAAGATCCCACATACAAAATGTACGAAAAAAGTACCTATATTTTTACCAAAATATGTCGTATACTTCCATTTTATGATAGGTATTTATAAGCACTACCACTTCATCAGTTCAATTACTGTAATACCTATATGGGTTTCTAATAATTTAGGCTCGTGTATTCAAATTCTCTAACCTTGATGGTTGACCTGAAACTCTCTTTGTAATAGTGCAGAAACGAATGTTTGCACCAGGGCAAGAAATTCTTATCACAACTATGTTTTGCTGAGTCTGAACAAGAGAAGTCTCCTAGCCTGTCTTCAAAATTCCAGCGTCACTCTTTTTGGAATCATTTTTTATTTGAGAATTGAAAAATAAAAAGTAAAAAAGAAAAAGAAGTTAGTTGGGAAGCAATTCCTTATTGAATACTCCGGTTATATTTGGTTTCTTCTTCAACTTGAATACTCCTGTTATATTTGGTTTCTTCTTCAACAAGATGAGTATTTTGATAGTCGTTATTCTTGAAACCTCTGTTGTGAGGAAATGCTTCTGTTGCACCGATTGGAGCATTCATATTTATGTTTTTTTTTTTTTTTTTTTTGGGGGGGGGGGGGGGGGGGGGTGTGGGGGGTTGTTTGTGTTGTGTAATAAGGGATTGGAGCAATAATGTTGTATTCACAAGTTTGTGGTGTTTATATTATGAGGATTGCTACTTAGAATTTTTCCTTTCTTTTTTCTGTTTATATTATTGTTTATCTACATTCAATGAGTATTTTGAAATGAGCATACATTTCTGACAACATGCTGACAGAAAATCTAGGGCTAACATAGTTTGTTTATACAGTGTAAGATTTCAACATAGACGATCTAGTTTTAAGGAGCTCCAGTACATATGTGATGGGGACAGCAATGGAGTCCTGTACTTTGCTGGCACGTCATACGGGGAACACCAGTGGGTAAATCCCATTCTGGCTAAGGTAAACATTTTCTGAGATGCTACTTGCTCTATTTATTTTGCAATAGTAGTTTTTCCAATTAACTTGTTATCCTTCTAAAATTGCATATTTCAGAGAATCATCATTACCGCTAGTAGTCCTAATTCAAGATACACTGATCCTAAGGTCTTGGGCTCAAGGACTTACCAGGTATGACCTATGATGAATCAAATTATTGTCATGATCTATTGCATTCTAATCTCTCTAGGGTAGTCATTGAACTTAATTTATTGTGCCTTAGGGTTTATCTTTTGCTGGGGCAAGGATTGAGGACAGAAAGAACAGCACATGGTGGATGATTGACATTGGCCAAGATCATCAGGTTAAATATTTGTATCATCGTACTTATGTAAAGCTTCTTCAGCATTAACACTTCATGCTTTGATTACCATCTCCTATTTACATAATATGCAGAAAAACTAGTGAGTACTGTATACCTATAACCAGAATATAGCCTGATTCTTCATTTTTGAAAATCATGCTGTATATGGATTTTATACTCAACAAAAGGTTGGTCACACCATATATGTTATAATTCATAAACAAACCTTAAGGACATAAAACTTAGTCAAGAGATGGAAACTAGCTAGTTTTTATTGGATCAAGAAGCCAGCTGCGAGTTTGTTGCTTTTTTGTTGCCTCAGTTTGTGTCCCCGAACTTTAGGATTATATAGGCATCTTACTAAGGTCTGGGTGCAGCTTGAGCTTGGTTTAAGATAGGTCAGACTGCGTTACTTAGATTTATTTTTTCGGCTAGGATACTTACCTTCATTATGTAGATTGTTATTCGTTTCTGTTTGTCCAACTATCTAAAACAATGACCCTCAATTAGATACTCCATAAACATGCTTTACAGAAGAGAACAATGTAAGGCAAATTGAAGGATTCATGTAGGCCCAAGTAGTTGAACAACTCTCTCTCTCTCTGTGTGCACACGTAGAGCGTGAGAAGTATGATTTTTTTTTTTTACCCCTGTTTAGAAAGTACTCAAAGGGAGGTGATCTACAATGTTGTGCCCTTAGATCGAGTAAAATGGTGAAATATCCATAAAAAGTACCCCTAGAAGTTGGTAGCAGAATTGTGAAATTGAGGATCCTCTTTGGATTGTTAAGCTCCTTGTAGGCGTAGGGTAAGGGGTCACACCTAAAAAACTAATACTATTTGGTACCAAATTAAGTAGTGGTGATAATACATGACCTTATGTTACTGGCATTAAGTTATGTTCCTTTAATCTATTGTTTTGTTCATTGAAGAAGATTGCCAATTACTTGTGCTGGAGCTTTTTCCACATTAAACTCCTGTCGGTATTTTACAGGAAATTTCATTGCTTTGTAACTGATTAACTTTTTGATGTGAGATACGGTTTGATTGATGCAGCTTATGTGCAATTATTACACCTTGAGACAGGACGGGTCCAGGGCTTACATGAGATACTGGAATTTTCAGGTAAGGGTGGTGTTTTGTTATGGTTTCTCATTCGAGTTTGACTAGAGAAATTAAGGCAATTGAGAGTGAGATAACACCCAAAGTTTACCTAAACATGTTTCAGGGTTCTTTAGATGGAGAGACTTGGACAAACCTAAGAGTACACGAGAACGACCAAACAATGTGCAAGCCTGGTCAGTTTGCATCATGGCCAATAGTTGGCCCCAGTGCTCTACTTCGGTTTAGATTCTTTAGGGTTATGTTAACGGCTCCCACAACAGATGATTCTAACCCGTGGAATGTTTGCATTTGTTTCTTGGAACTCTATGGCTACTTCCGCTAATTGACGTGTAATAAATTGTCTGCAGACATTTCGTGCCGTGTAATAAAAATTGTCTGCAGACACATTCGTGTAGTCCACGTCGTCGCTATCATGTACAGTCTCAATATTGTGAGAATAAATCACTAGTTGGGGTTTGACTGCTAGCCTCTCATTTTGATTAAATATATGTCTTTGATCAAATAAAATTAGTTTTAATACCTTCATTTCTTACGTTATCTGAGTCATGCCTAAGATAAAATAAGTGGAGACTGCCAAAGAGACCAAGCTCCCCCGAAAAGAGGCTAACCATGGTCGTGCTGGTGTAAAAGGCTTCAAAGGAGCCGAGTTGTTCGAGCTTGGCTGTTCAGCCTATGACTCATTTATGTCAACTGTTGATTATTGTGAAGGCAGATTCATTTCTTAAATCCATCAAGCCCAGACAAGCTGGTTTGGCTTAAGATAGTTTTTATCTATTTATTAATTTATTTACCAAATCAGTGTTAATGTCAATATTGAATTTGAGCCCGAGCTTCTGAAGAGGCTTGAGTTTGAATTTGATCTTGGCCTAAATTAGAATTAAGGTCGGACCTGGCACGTAGTCAATGGACAAGGATCACCTCCAATTGCACAGTAGTTCATTTCTTCCATTTTTGTAAGTAAAAGTACATTCCAACATTTTTGTAAGATGCATTCCAACATTTTCCTACTGTGCATTCTAATATTTTCCTACTGTGCATCCCAAACATGGGTGACGTGGCCATTTCTGGACCACTCGTTTCAAAATGGAGTAAATGGCACACTATTTCACTGGAGGTGATTTTCACCTGTAGTCAACACTTCTTTTCAGGCTCAACTAGAGCTCGAGTGAATTTGAAGAAAATACAATAATATATGGAGCAGAGTTTGATCAGCTAGATATTAAGCTATGTTCCTTTGTAACTCTATCCAGTAGCCGACCACTAAAAGAACAATCTTGTCGTTGTCAATAAGATTCCGGCCAGCAAAGTGAACTTTAGCTCTTGAAAATCTCTTAAGCTGCTGTTAGTCGATCAGTGTCTCACACTTAAAACTTCATTAATTATTTGAAATGGTTCTGTTCTGGAATAGGAAATGTTGTTACCAACCCATACTTTCTATTTATTATGCTACATCAAACGTGGGACAGTGAAAACACTTTCAAAAGTAGAGTACAAGCAATGGCTCTCTAATCTACCAAACCAGTGTAAATCGATCGGTATAAGTCCAGCAGCACAAGAAAACTGCAACGGTCCCGAGTAAGGTGACTGTTTGATAACTCAATTCAGCATAATACTGAATGGATTAAGCATGTGTTTAAAATGTGTTTGACAACACAATTTCAATAGCATTGAAAATCGTAAGCGCCTGGTGTAAAATTTTAAAAATTTTAACAAGAACATTTGAAAATATATCAAAAAATGTGCTTAATTTTCAGTTTCAATAGACAACACATAAGGCTTCCATCTGCCATGCTTACTTACGAGACCACTGAACTAAAACATCAACTGAATGGTTTTTGCCATTTATCACACCATTTTGCAGGGTTTCAGCACACCCATAATCATAATATCAATATCTAATGTTTTCAAGCAAGTTAACATGTGGAGGTCAAGATTTCAACAGCTAATTTGACCGAAAGACATGATTTTGGATTTTCATAAAAGACAAGGAGTGATGACAGAAGAACTTGGCATAAAGGCCACCCAGAGCAAGTACAACAATTAAACTAAGACTATTGTGTTCCTGAGTTTACCCAAACACTGAAAAGTTTGGTAACAGGGCAGCAGCATCACCCCACAAGTCACAACCGAGTTTAGCAACTTCTTGATGGACTGAAGGTTGACAATGCTTTTAGTGTAAACCTCGTGTGGGAACAAGAACCTGCATAGGAAGCTAACTGAAACTCCTCTGGATGCACTGTGCTTCCTCTCAACTTGAAGCATGCCAAAATGAAAGCTGTAACTTGGAAAAATAACAACCTAGATAATCCTAATCGCTAGAGTTTACATATGCACATTGATTGCCTACTAAACCTTAATATGCTAGACTTCCTTTGATGTGCTAGTTATCAAATTTTTTTTATTTATTTTTTATTTAACCCCTTTTTCCCTCTCTGAGGGCATGCTTAGCTGCTGCATTGGAAGAGAATAATTTCCTTTGAACAATCTCCCATGAATATGAAATAAATGACAATACAATGCCGCCATGAATATATTCAGCCTAAAATTATTGCCACTACCTCTATCATTCAATGAACTGGTTCATTAATTATAAATTAATAAAAGGACTTCTTTCCCACTTCAAATTGTAATAGAGTTAAACTTCTGAAGAGAAAGCATACATCCATATGTGACTAGCAACTCAAAATCCAGATAATGTGAACTTCTAAGCGAAGCATTATCCTTTACACCAACATTTTAGGATACAAAAGCAGGGAATCTAGATGAAGAATTACTGGTGAACTTCAAGTGAAGGGATGAGGATCCCATTTGGAGGATAGATTACCTTCGTACAGGTGGCACCATACCCCTTCCAGGTGGAGCACCACGACCAGCAGCCTGAGCCTGCACAGTAAAATATATATATTTGTAAGTCAGGCATCACTTCCATCCATTACGGAAGAGAAGTTCAAAAAAAGCTTGTCAATCTTATGCAACAGCAAATTTTGAACATCTCAGGATCCAAGAGCCCCACTCATGGCACAAAAAGGGGAGGAAAAAGGAACTCCCACATTCGAGAAAAAGAGAAGAAGACCTCTACCCAATGAGTGAAAATTGAATGTCAGTCCTCCCTAACTCGTCTTCTATTAAAAAATTTACAGCTATTATCAAATCATAATGACTTAGTGTCAACAAGCACCAATAGTCTTAGTCACAGTTATACGTGAATGAACAAAACTTACTCTAGCCCGCATTCCAACAGCACGACCCCGGCCAACTCCAAGTGCTGAGCCCTTACCCTGCAAGAAGTTAACGATATCAGCATTGCAAGTGCAAATAAAAGAGGAAAACATACACATGCACAAGGAAAGGTACCTTGATTCTAGCATCAAGACGTTTGAACATAGGAGCATTCTTAAGCATGTCTGGGATCACCATAAACCTGAAAGGATTTCACATCAGTTTCAAGACAAACGCATGGAATAGCAAACAAACTATCGTGTGTAAAAAATAATTAGATACCTGACTTTGCTACCTCTGATAAAGACATGCTCAAGCTGTGAGACCTTCCCATCCTACGGAGGAAATGACAAAAATTAGAGGCTGATAGAAAATTAGAAAACTAGCATGTTATGCATGTATAGTTGAAAAGAAGATTTCTAACTATTCAAGACCAGGAAAAGTAATCCCTCATCACATTCCAACAATATGTGACTGCATTTTCTTTAAAATATCTCTTATCACCTTCTACATGGAAGATAAGGTGGAAAACTGTAAGTTATTCACACCCAAAGTAAAAAAGAAGCATGTGAAAGAAGGAATATCAATGTCTATAAAAATTCAAGTATCTCTTCAAATTAAAATAAGCTTCAAATAACCAATGGTCCATTTCTTGGTTCAAGTCTCATAAGAGACAAGTGTGTGTGAGTACCAACTAGGAAAAAATAAATAAATAAACTTCAAATAATCACCCCATTTAAAGCAATTTCTAAGTTCAACAAAGAACCCTATACAAGAAATATTACATTTACTCAAAAACTTATAAATCACCTCACATATGTTACAAAAACTATACTCGTCATCATGAAAATATTTTCATGATGCATATACAAAAAAATTTAAGAGCAATGGTAGACATCTCAAAAAAAAATCACACCATTAATCTGTCGAGTTCCTATCCAGCAGACTGCAGTACATCTTAGTTGTCAAAAAAAACAAAAAAACTCTTGTACATACTACATTCTAATTTTTCACAAATAATGAATTATATTATATGTGAATATATATAAAAGAAGAAAAAAGCATAAAAAGTGGTATGAAATTATGAATGAAAGGAAAATGGTTCTAGTCAATCATCAATAAATTTTACTTGTTGGCGCATGCATCGATAATATATGTTTGATATTCAACATCTTCTGTGTATCTTGATAAGTATCATTTAATCACTTCTAAATTTTATCACTCATGCTTTTTTTTCCGCTTCTTGTTCCAATATAATATGATAGGTAGAAGCAATCCATTAAATATGCCAGGAGATACAAGATGTGAGAACAAGTAAAATACTATATGTCGTTGCCGAATATTAAATACAAAAATAACAATATAAAGGAAACCCAACGATGATCATGTCATTCATCATATGATACTAGTGCAAAACGCGATATGTGAGATCATATAACATATACATAGGGTGATAGTCAAAGGTCAGTGGAGCACTTCCTACATTATAATTTATTTCTCATCTGTATATCAAGTGCCAGCTTATCATTGATAAAGCACTATCGAGTGAAGAAGTTTATGGTAAGGTTTTTGAGTGACCAGAACTTTTGGGGTCCGATTAAATAGCAATGCCTCTCTGTCTCTCTGCTGCGTTCCATGTCCATATTCCAGCTCTTGCATCTCTCATGGAACAGTTTGCTCGGAAGTTCATGACTGACCATTCATACCCATTGCAAGCATGAGTTTCGTTTAAGCAAATCCAAGATGGATGATAAGGTGAAATCTTGCAAATCAAAGTGCATGCATATCTATGTATAGGTGTGTAAGAAAATAGGGTTCCCTGTCTTCTTTAATTGCTTAGCTAGAAAATAATACTTTGTCCCTCAAGCTATCATGAAAAAAATAAAAACTTTCAAATCTTAAAATAAATTTAGACAGAAAATCAAAAGGCTCGTTATGTAGTACTCCCGAAACCAGAACTGGGATTGCATTTAAGGGTTTAAATGACGTATTTGTCCAAGTTGCCAAATAACACAAGTACGAGCTCTAAACCCATGATTTCTCAGTAATTCTTATTCTATCTTTGATTGACCGGGTATTACTGGAAGAAAATAAGCTGAAACCTTCAACTTATCATTAATTCAGGGGAAAAAAACTGTGAGCCAAACAAAATTAAAACATTATTCCAAAGTTAAGTTCCATGATTACTTGAAAACCTAACTGTAACCACGTAAACGATCGAGGGTTCCATAAAATCATTATTCCAAAATTAAAACATTATTCCAAAGTTAAGTTCTATGATTATTCGAAAACCTAACTGTAACCATGTAAACGATCTAGGGTTCCATAAAATCAGATAGCCGTCATTGAATACAGAGACGTAAAATTGAAAGAAATCAACATGAAAAAGTTAAAACCCTAAGAGATTACAAGTGCAATTATCATTGGAAGCGTACCTTCGCAGTGAATGTGATGTTCTCGAGTTGGCAATTCCAGTTGTCTTCGCATTCAATCATGCTTCCTCTGTAGAGCTCTCCACTCTTCAGTTCAACAGTCACCACATGCCCTGAGGACTCGTGTAAAAGCTTCACCGGTATTCCCAAACTCCTGCTCATGGTTATGGCTTCGCCTTTCTCTCTCTCTAAAAGCTTCTATTGCTTTCTTTCGTTCTCTCAGCAAAACCCTAATTTTCAAAAACCTCACAGGGTATGACGCGCGGACGGCGAAGTTTTTATAAGGAAGTCGCTTCATTCGAATCGTTATCGGACCAGCAATTAAATCATCGAAATGGTTGAGTCAGGGTGCACCCGGATCTATCAATTTTATTCGAGTCGGTTCAAATAGTACGATTTGGTTCGATTTTGCCATTCAGTTGTTTCCAAAAAGGGTAACCTGCAATAAACCCCGCAATTATACAAAATATGCAAAAACCTCCTTTAAGTTTAATCAATTTCTACATTTTAAAAATTGTGTAAATAAGTATATTTAGTCAATTTGTTGTTGACAGGATTTTGAAATGTCTAAAATAACTCTAGAGTAAAGTGTAAGAAAACCCTATTGTATACAAAATGTGAAACAAACCTCCTTTCTATTCCATGTGAGCATTTAATCTCTTCACATTTGAAAATTGTGTGCCTCCTCATTTTATAACAGTTGACTGTCAATTCTGACAAATAAAATATATATAATAAAGATTTAATTGAAAAACCCAAAATGCCCTTTAAAAATAACCACAATGTCCCTTTGTGTCTTCTATATATTAGAACATGCTAAAGGTGAGTGAGTGAGTGAGATTGAAGGGAGAGAGTGTGTGAAATCAAAGAGAGAGGGATTAAGTGGTTTAAGATATTTCAGGTGTTTAAGGTATATTTTAGAGTGACTCGTACGACATCATCTAGTGATTTGTCCTTTTTGGATATTTCGCATCTTCTATGAGTGTGGATAAAGTATAAGAAACCCCTAATTATATACCAAATGTGTGAAAACCCCTTAAAGGGTTGGGAGGTTTTCAGTTTTAAAAAAAAAAAATTGTGAAAATTGATAGTCAACAATCATTTTTATAACAACCAGAGACTAATTTGCACATAATTTTCAAATGTTAAAATGTTACATGCTCGTACCTAATAGGAAGAACAATGTTTCATTTAGTTTAAAGTAGTTTTTAGGTTATATGCTATACAAGCTTAATTCACATGTAATAACAAAAAAAAAAAAACAATAAAATTGAACCAATTTAAATCGTTATTTTACATTTCGGATTAGATTTCATTTGGACAAATATGAAAGAAAAAAAAATTTAAAAAAAATTGATAACATTAATAATGAAAGTATAAAAAAAGTTAAAATAAAAGATAATATATATTTATGTTTAGATAAATTACAAAAGACAATAGAAAAGAAAATACACCATTTTCATACACCATTTTAATCAATTTACTATTACACCTTTTAATATTTATATTACAAAAATAAAAAAACAATCTCTGTGTGTGTTGCCAATCTTCTCAGTCTCTCTCCCTACAATTCAATCTCCCTCCAGGTGTATGTGACAATGCACAATATTTCGGTTTTACTCTTTCTTTTCTTTTTTTTGGAAAATAAAGCAACTGAATATATATATAAAAGGATAATTACAATCAGGCCTTATGCCAAAAACCAATCTGAATGAAAGGGATACAAGCTGAACTAAGGCAAACCCAGCCCAAAGTGCTGAGCATCTAATCCTAGCCCAACTTAGACAACAGAATTAACGATTTTGAAGCCATTAATGGTGGTTATCAGGGTACCATTTTTCCGGTGAAACGAGTGTATTGAGTTGCAAACCTACAACTCAAAATGATTAATCTGGAGGACGGGGAGGCGGACGGCAACAAGAAGGCGACAAGTTCCACTCACAAAGAATTTTCCCGAGAGCTTAAGCAATCACGAAGGAAGCCCAGCTTCAGAATAGCTTTGATGGTGGAGCAAACTTTGTTTGAGACCACTCTTGTGGATGATTTTTTCCCTCTGAAGATCCTTGCATTCCTCTTTTCCCATGTATGGTAGATCAGTGTTGAGAGGCATACCTTCCGTAGGAGGTTGGATGCCGGATTTCTTTTCCGTTGTGAGGAGAGCCATCTAATTAGGTTTTCCCAATTAACATTTGGAGTGATTAGATTGCATCTGTCTTTGATAAATCTCCAAATAGGTGAGACGAAAGAACATTTGAAGAAAAGATGATCATAGGATTCATGGATGTTATTGCAAATAACACAAATGTTTTGATGTTGTGCCATTGATTTAGAATCAAGGGTATGCAATCTGGACTGCACAGCATGCCACATATTGAATTTCATGCGAGGAATTGTTAGTGCCCTCCATACCAAGTTAAACCATTGAACTGCTGGAGAAGGACCTACAAGAAGTTTAAGTTGTACTGTCCAGAGTTGCAAGCTGATAGGGAAAAATAAACATAACTTACCTTGACCTAACGATAGAAGCAACTAAGTGTTTACCAGCCGCTAGACCTTTTCGACTTTCGAACGATGATATTTCCATTGGATAAGAATGATAATATTTCATTATCAACGATAATGAAAGATGACGTGGTTCAACAGGGTAAAGATAACCTTGGCATAATTTAAGGAAGTTAAAAGAGTAAATCATATCCCTGACAAATCTGGCAACAAACGGATTTCCTCTGATCTGGCACAAGCTGATGATAAGGGAGACCTCAACCATCGACATCGACGGGACCAATTTGATTCCAATCGACAGCCATAAATAGGGCACCAAGCCATTAAAAAATGTACGGGAAAAACCCCTAAACAGAAATTACATAATTATTATGTGATACGATTACAAGTACTAACTTGATCGTCGGATGGTCCTCGGCTGGCACCCCACCGGTGCCATTCAAGGTGACGTCCCTTTGTTTTGTAGGTAAACACCGTCGTTCCGAGTTGCGAGGATTTTCGTATCAACTGTTGGTGCCGTCTGTAGGAACGATTAGTTCTCTGAAGAAATAATAATCCTGACGCGACTTGGCTCAAACGACAAAACGAAAGTTTCCGATCATGGAAACCATCCCAAAGTCATCCGTTGACAACGGATTTCCATGTTCTTATATAAAGACGGGTCTCTACATCATGATTACCCGCCCATCATATTGGGGGCAAAACGGTGGGTTGCGTGATGCCACCCAATGTACGATAACTGTAATACCCCGTAATTTTAAAGAATGTATTTAAATTAATTTTGTGTGCATACTACATTATTATATTAAGTTCATTTAATGGTACATGTAAATTAATTGTGTATGGTAAAATAGTAAATTTATTCATTTAATTATGCATGTATTATTATTAATAATTTAATTTGTTGGTTATGCTTATATTAATCATTATTAGTTAATTAAAGTATTATATTTGTGTTATATAGTATTATGATGATATAATGTATTATTTTGTAATAATAATAATTATATTAGTTTAATAATATAATGATAATAATATTATAATAATAATAATTATAAAAGTTTATTAATAATAATATTAGTAATAATAATAATAATAGTTATAAATAATAATAATAGTATTAAACCAATGTCATGATGAAATTAGAGATTAGGATAGGATTGCATCAATGGTTATGGGTGGAATTGAAGCCTTATGGTTGGGAGGATGGTTAGTAGATGAAAAAATAAGATATTTGTAATATTTATATTATATATTTTGTATATAAATTAACTAGCTTACCTTAGAAGAAAATAAAGGGAGTTAGAAGCAAAGTATAATTTCTAGTGAGCTATTTTATAAGAGTGAAAGGAAAAGAGAAAGAGAAAGAAGCTTGGACCGGTGTAGGCAATTTTACCCAACTACGCGCAGACCGGCGGATTTATTTTAAATCCAAAAAGGCAAGTTATTATTTACTTTTCCCCTTTGAATCCATAAATTATTCATTTAATTTATTTCGGGTTTCTTTTTGAGACTAGAAACCATGCTAGAAGTTTCAATAAATTATTTTAGTTTATTAAAATAATGTGTTTTAATTATTAAAGTGGTTAGTTATTTATTTATTTAGCCTATGTAATTAAAATATAGCTGAAAATAATTAACTAAGACTTTAGGGATTTTTCTAGAATTTTCTAGATTTTTCCGGGCATTTTCTGCAATTTCCGGCGACCTTCCGGCGAGTTTTCCGGTCGCCGGCAATGGGGGAGACGACCGGAGTGATCCGGTGTGATGCGGCGCACCATAGGAGGGTATGCGCGTGCATCTGGACCATTAAATAGCAGCGATTGATCCGGTGCACCGCGGTCCATGTTACCGCGGTACACCCGGATCCGTGAACGTTGGATGGAGGAGATGTAGGTGGATTGATCTGGTGTGGCGCGCATGTAGGAAAGCTGATGCAGCCAACCAACCGGAGGACGCCACGTTAGCAGGAAGCCATCAACGCGCGCGTGGGAGCGCGTGCGCGCGCGTGGAACGCTCTAGACGCGCGTGGGAGCGCGTGTGCGCGCGTGGCTGACTCCAGACGCGCGTGGGAGAGTGGGAAAGCTTGGCGGCGCGTGTGGGGAGCTCTGGGAGGCGCGTGGGGGCGCGTGAAGGGCCTCTGCGGCTGCTGGAAAAGTCCAGAATACCCCTAGGGACTGTTTTGTCATTACCAGGACCTTCACTATACATTTTGGGGCCTCGGGTTGGCATTTTTGGAATTAACGGGACATTATATTATTATTTTATTTCTCGTTAATTATTATAATTGTCCGATTAATATTTCTAAATATTAATTGTATCAGTTAAAGTGCGAATCGCTAGTAAACATATGTAATTGATTTAACGACTATTAATGGTATTATTTTAGTAAACTGTAATAACCATTAATGTTAAATTAATTAGTGCTTGGTTTTATTCATATAAATGACCCATTATATATTATGGAATATTTATACTGTTAATCGTATATAAACCATGATGATTATGCTGTGTGCATTTCAGGGAATAAATGGACTGTTTATTATGTCGCATTTATATTATATGGATGTGTTGCCATATAGAACCATGTGAGCTGACTAATAAGTTTAGACTCATTTATACCTTATGCATTCGTTGCGATAGACAGATGTATGGCTGTCGGGGTATATGGTTTAATATTATTGGCATGTGTTGCCTAATTGACATACTCGGTATATTTATTAATATTATTGGCATGTGTTGCCTAATTGACATACTCGGTATATTTCTTAATATTGTTGGCATGTGTTGCCTAA